GATGCCACGGCACTCTAGTGATGGTGATAAAGTGAGACTCTGTCTCTACAAAAAAATAATAACAACAAAAAACGAAATATTCTGCATCAGCAAATGAAATTCTTCTGTTTTAACAAATTAACAAAATTAATAAAGCATGCATATTAAGTATTCTTTTTTCTTACCCATTATTAGTATCTTTTGTTCAGAGTTTCTCACTTCCAATTTTGAAAAATGATCTAGTAGTATGTTGAATATTTAGTAACAATTCTAATTATTTGTTTTTTTGTTTGTTTTGAGATATAGTCTCACTTTGTCACCCTGGGTAGAGTGCTGTGGTGTCATAGGGTTCAAGAGATCCTCTTACTTCAGCCTCCCAGGTAGCCTGGACTACAGGTGCTCACCCTAATGCCTAGCTAGTGTTTCTATTTTTTTAGTAGACGGGGGTCTCATACTCCTGAGCTGAAGCAATCCACCTACGTCAGCCTCCCAGAGTGCTAGGATTACAGGCGTGCTTTATTTGATTTGTTGAATTAAGTATTAAATTTGAATTTTTATAGTAGTATAAGTATTAAAATACAAAGTAGTAGTTCTGAATAGATTTTAGGAATTTTACATTCAAATTGCTTATGATTAAATTATGTTCTGAATTATTTATAGGTCTTGGACATTGGGAAAAATATTGTTTATATTTTAATATATTGAATTAATCAGAAATGATATATTTACACTGAATAGCAGTTGTCCTAGATTTTTGTATATACCTGTGTTGGGGAAATTCAGGGAGTGCTTAAAGTAATAGATTATATAAATCCATTTTAGGTATAGTACCATAACTAATACATCATTGGAAGAACACTTTTAGTAAATAGAAAACAATTTATTAATCTTAGCCCTTTAAATATTATTTGAGATGGGGTCTTGCTGTGTTGCCCAGGCTGGTCTTGAACACCTGGGCCCAAATTATCCGCTTGCTTTAGCCTTTGGAGTAACTGGGACCATAGGCATGTGCCATTGCACCTGGCTTGGTCTTATCCATTCTGAATGTAAATTTATTTGATTCAAAATGAATGCAAAAACTTTATTAAGAGAATGTCATCTTTTGAGGGTGTAGTTTGTTCTTCCATCAGTTTTCTTCTAGTTACCTCTGTCTTGCTTATATACAGGATTTTGGAGATTATATTTTCTTGATTTCCTTGCCTAAATATTCTAAGAAATGTTTAATTTTTAAATTGCATTGGTAGGTACTTGTTTTCATTTAGATTATTTAGGTTATTTATGATTCAATTGGTAGAATTGCACATTCACTTCTGTTTTCCATTTTGGTTTTTTCCTCTGATTTTAGGATCCTCGTCGTAGTCTTACAGGAGAAAATCGCTGCCTTTGATAGCTGTACTTTCACAAAAAAATTCTTTGTTACAAGTATGTACCAAATTGTTTTATTTCCTATCATATGCATTTGAGTTTATACTACTTACCTGATATGTAGTCAGAAAATGAATTGTTATCATATCAACAGTGTTTCGTGGGTTTTCAGTTATGATGGTGTCCTCATTCAGTTAATTGTATAACATGTGTTTTGAACTTGCCAATACAGTTTTTTTCTCGTATTACTGAGCAAACTTTGTTCTATATTGCCTCAGTTCTTCTTTACCTACTCCTCTTAAGTCATTGTGATTAGTTTCATGTAGCTTGTTTTATACTTTCAAAGTTGTTGAGCTACTTAATTAACATACCATATTTGAGGAGGTGCCTGGATTATCTTTATGAGGGATTTGAAACTCATGGAAAATAGTCTATATCTCTCTTTGTTTTCTCCTTTCTTTCTCTAACTCTTAAAACTGTACTACTGTCTAAAAGTGCAGAAATAAGCATAGACTCTGGATCTACACTATGTGCTCAGACAGAGAGAATTAGCACATTTAAGAGAGGGAGAGAGAGACTGATTTTAAGAATTTAGCAAATGCATCTATAGGGGCTGGCAAATCTGAGATTGGCAGATTAGGTTATCCAGCTGGAAATTCCAGTGGTCACTGTTGCAGTTTTGTGTCCAGAGTCGTGGTTGGAGGAAGAATTTTTTCCCCCTCATTTTAGTTCAGTAAAATAGTGGTTTCCTGTCTTTGCCTTCTAGGCTGTGACTTCTGTGACTGACCAAGGTCACTGTAGCTGAGCTTTCTCTACTCCCGTCTTGTCTTCTCTTCTCCTTTTCTTCTTTGTACAGTGTGACTATAAGCACGATTTTCTCAAAAAGTTTTGTTTGTTTTTTAAAAATCAATAGCATTTGCAGCTTTTCTGGGGGAGCATTTGACAGTTTGAGAATTTGTAATAGATGAATTTGTTTGTGGAAAGTCCTTACATGGGTCACCTTAACAGATTTTCTGTATGACAGGAAAAAAGTAAATATGTAAAACCCTGGAAAATATATTGGCAGAATCAGTATAGAAGCTGGTACATTTTCAAAGAAAGCAATGAAAGAAATTTCATTTTACCAATTTTACTGTAATTTCCTAATTAACCCATATATGATGGAATTAAGAACAAAAAAACTTTAAGCAGAAGAAGAGTATAGAATATGTATTCTTCTTAGTTTTTATTGCTGTTTGAAATTATGAAGTGTATTTTTAGTTACCTTAAAATGGTTAATTGTACTTTATTTATTTATTTGAGACAGAGTCTCAAACTGTCACCCTGGGTAGAATGCCGTGGCATCACAACTCACAGCAAGCTCAATCTCCTGGGCTTAAGCGATTCTCTTGCTTCAGCCTCCCAAGTGGCTGGAACTACAGGCACCCGCCACAATGCCTGGCTATTTTTTTTGGCTGTAGTTGTTGTTTGGCAGGCCCAGGCTGTATTTGAACCCACCAACTCCAGTGCATGTGACTGGTGCCCTAGCTGCTTGAGCTACAGGTGCTGAACCTAATTATACTTTAAATATATAAATATCTTCCATTTTCAATATTTTGGCCTGTTAGGTAAAGATGTAAAATTTTAGTACTATGGCAAAAAGATTATAATATTTTGATTAAATTCTAATGCTATAGGCACACTATGTACATACATGCATGGATACTTTTTTTCATTTACACCCCGTGGCCAGTTATTTTCAAGCATATTGTGGGCATTGTAGCATTTAATTAGTGTATATTTATTACCTATGTCCAAAAGTTAAGGACTTTTAAAAAGTACCAGGTAATCATATAATTTATGATCTAAGCTACTGTCTTTTGGGTTGAACTATCACCATACTAGATTTAACTCTGGTCTGCTTAGGTAAAACTAGGAAAGTCCTGTGCCAACATGGACATACGGTCATCCTGTCCATTTCCTACCAACCAAACTCCCACAGTTTTTGATATGGAAACTCTTTGTGAAAGGCCAGTCTCCTTGTACAATCTTTCCTACAACTCAGTTTCATGCTTCTTTGTCTCACTGAATTTAAACGACTCATTTTCATTTTTTTCAGGTGCATTTTTCCTTTGTTTTCTTACCTGAAATGGCCATTTCACTACTGCCTCTTCTCCCCACAACATCTTAGTCCTATACCTTTTTGGGGCCCAATGTAGGTAATCATTCTTATATGAAGTCTTTCCTGCCCCTCTAAACTTGCAGGTGTGTCCAACTTTTTTTCTTCTCTGCCACACGTTAGATGAAAGAGTTGTATTGGGCTGCACATTAAATATACAAAGAATAATGAAAGCTGGTGAACCAAAAAGAGGTCCAGACATCGTTTTCATGATATCTGACAACACAGATTAACCAAAAAGTCCTCATATAATCTGCATGTGGTCTGCAGGCCGCAAGTTGGACGCTCCTGAACTTCTCCTTTTTCTAAATACTGTAAAGATAACATTTCTCAGTGTCTGTCTGCAGAATATTAGACTGTCAGCATGCTGTGCAAATCGAGATGCACTGGTCAAATATGCTTAGGAAATGCTGTCTTCTGTTGAGACTGGCAATGATGATTAGCATTTTATCTACTTAAGCTTATTTAATACATTTTTATTTGATTACAGACTTTTGTTACCCAACACACTTTGGGAATGCTTTTATAACATGTAATCTCAGCCTCTCCTAAAGCCTTTATTTTCTATCTTGTATGCAGTTTTTAAATACTTGCCACTCCGTGTAATCCTATTGAGGGAAAAGTTATTTAGCTTGTTTTGGATTGAAGCAGTTAGTTTCATGGAAGGCATAATGTGTCCATTGTGTTCTTGCTAATTAAAAAATACTAATGATGTGTATTTCTTGATTCATCCTTTTAATATTAAAACCCACGTTAGTAATGACGATTTGTTTGACCTTATCCATGTTTAAACATTTATCAGGATTATGTTGTGGTTTCAAAGCATGAGTGGTTCTTTTTCAAAATATTTAATCAAAATGTTTGTGATAAAGAGTATGTCTGAAAATGCAGTGGTACTCTGTAAAAATTGATGAGGAGTAAAATTATTCCTATAGGATCACTATCAGAATCTATAGGTCTGAGCCGAAAATTAACACTTTGACTATGTAAAGGAGTGAAAAAATGTATATACATGCTCGTGTATGAATGAAGTTTCTCTCTTAGAATTCCCGCTGGAGGCCGGGCATGGTGGCTTGAGCCTGTAATCCCAGCACTCTGGGAGGCCGAGGTGGGTGGACTGCTGAGTTCATAGGTTCCAAACCAGCCTCAGGCAGACACCTTGTAGTCCCAGCTACTCCAGAGGCTGAGGCAAGAGAATTGCTCGAGCCCAAGAGTTTGAGGTTGCTGTGAGCTATGACGCCAGGGTACTCTATAGAGGGTGACAAAGCGAGACTCTGTCTCAGGAAAAAAGAAATGCTGTAATAAATGCAGCACTAAGCATTTCTGAAGCATGAGATTATTAGAAAATTATGCCTCTATAGACATCAGCTCTTCACTGTGTCTTAGCGTCTCTTCTGGCTGTCTAAGGAGGGGTGTACAACCTTCTGGCTTCCCTGGGTCACCTCAGAAGAGGGAGAGTTGTCTTGGGCCACACACTAAATACACAAACCCTAATGAAGACTGATGAGTAAAAAAAAGGTCTGTGCATAATTTTTGTGATATCTGCCATCACAGATAAGCGAAAAAGTCCTCATGTGGTAATCCTAATTACACAGGTGCCCATTTAGAGTTAGTGATTTATTTATAAATTAATTAACGAACTTATTTTTGAGACAGAATCTCACAAAAAAGGTTGAGTGCCCTAGGTAGCTCACAGCAATCTCAAGCTCTTGCGTTCAAGGGATCCTCTTGCCTCAGACTCCCAAGTAGCTGGGACTACAGGCATTTACTGCAACTCCTGGCTGGTTTTACTATTTTTAGTAGAGATAGGGTCTCTCTCTTGCTCTGGCTGGTTCTGTAACTTTTCAGCTCAAGCAGTCTATTCACCTTAGCCTCCCAGAGTGCAGGGATTATAGGCATGAAACACCACTACTGGCCTCTCAGAAATATTTGAACAAAGGAATTTAGCTGCTTTTCTTTGAAATTACAGTTTCAAAAGTGATTTTCAATATTTAGAACAATACTCACCATAACCAGATTTTTCAGATCAAGAAGTAAAGGGTACCACTTCATAACTTGTGAGAAGTTTATTTTTCTCCAATTTCTGTATCTTCCTCCTCACTTCTTTACGCAGACTGAAACTTTTGGCAGATAGAAAGAGTCCTGGTATAGATTATGTGCATTTCTCTGTATTTTAGTTTATGTCAGCCCTTGCCTATAAGCCAACTTTGCTTGTTAGACTGAAGGACACAGAATATACGGATTGGAGGACAGGACAGTGGGATGGTCGAACGGGGTAGACTGAGATTGCATTTGTAGGAGCTCACTTGCCAGGGCACCATTTTTAATAGTTTTTCTCTGTTGATTGGTACTGAGTTCTTTAAGAAGTAGGACCATAGCCTGTGTAGAAACAACAAGTTTTCCACTTAATAATGATGTTGTGTTAATTATGTAACCAGTTAACTTTTAAAACAGTTTGTAAAGTTCCTGTATAATACCGTCTTAGTTGAGTGCCTTGGTTGTTGTGAATACAATGAACAGACTGTAAACGAAATAGAGACAGCTGTGTCCATCAGAGTAAGCATCGTGGGGATTTGTGCCAACGGGTGGAGTGAACAAGTAAAGAAAGCTGATAGAGAGCTGTTAAGAGAACATATCCACTGTATTGAAAAAGGAGACACCTTTGTATCTGGATGTAAAGAAAAAGTGCTCATGAGCAGCTGTCTGATGTGGAAATCCAAAACCCAGGCATGATAATGAAAACAAAAGACAAAGACTGATGAATGTCATTAGCAGTCATTTTCAGTGTCCTTAAATTGAAAGATAGATACGGAGTCTCCAGAGAGACCAAAGGAGTGTACACTAAACAGTCCCTTTTCTTTGGCCTCAATTCTTTGAGGATGAAAAATTATTCCTTAAAATCTATTATTTTTTTTCATATTAGTATATGTGTTCTTTATGTTAAAGTTGAATAATAAATGAAACAAATAGAAATGCAAATTTTACTTTAAAATATAATTTTTTTTAATTCTGAGAAAAGGACATTTGCTTTTTATGTTAAGAAACAAGTTTTTAGGCTCGGCGCCTGTGGCTCAATTGGCTAAGGCGCCAGCCACATACACCTAAGGTGGCGGGTTCGAAAATCCAGCCCGGCCCGGCCAAACAACAATGACGGCTGCAACCAAAAAATAGCCGGGCGTTGTGGCGGGCGCCTGTGGTCCCAGCTACTTGGGCGCCAGCCACATACACCTAAGGTGGCGGGTTCGAAAATCCAGCCCGGCCCGCCAAACAACAATGATGGCTGCAACCCAAAAAAAAAAAAATGGCCAGGCATTGTGGCAGGCACCTGTAGTCCCAGCTACTTGGGAGGCTGAGGCAGGAGACTCGCTTTAGCCCAGGAGTTGGAGGTTGCTGTGAGCTGTGAGGCCATGGCACTCTGCCCAGGGGGATAGCTTGAGGCTCTGTCTCAAAAAAAAAAAAAGAAACAAGTTTCTAACATTTATGATAATTGGTACCTTAACGTGAGTTGTTTGATTTTTATTTTTATTTTTTTGAGATAGAGTCTCACTATGTTGCCCTCCGTAGAGTGATTCCAGGCGCCTGCCACAATGCCCAGCTGTTTCTTTTGTTGTTGTTGCAGTTGTCATTGTTGTTTAGCTGGCCTGGGCCGGGTTCGAACCTGCCAGCCTGGGTGTAAGTGGCTGGCACCGTTAACTACTGTGCTATGGGTGCCAAGCCCTTAATGTGAGTTTTAAACCCAGCTTAAGTTAAAAGTTAAACCTATCCCTGCTGTTTTGGGTTCTGTATAAGGTAGCCAAGGCCAGCATGATGTTTTTAGGGCTGGGCAGGTGATTGATGTGTAGTGGAC